TCAGCAGAGTGAAGGTGATTTCCCGAAGTCGCATAGCTTAATGACGATTTGAAGCCCAAGCTTTCTGTTCAGTGTTTCTCTTTTTTGAACCTGTTAATGAAATAATACAACACCCTTGGAGTGTTCCAATTGAATGCAAGCATGTAGAGTAAAAAGTGAAAATCCTCCCGCTGATAACCTCCTTTATCCAATCTGCTCTCCAAGGTGACTACCATTGTTGGTTGGCATATCCTTCCAGACTTTTTACTGTTGTTGAATACACACACACACATACATAGAGTTTATGGGGTGTTTTTCCCCATGTAAATAGAAATTCATATACACATTTCTCTGCGGCTTGCTTGTTTTGGTTAATGTCTGTATGAATAAATTTACTTATAGCCTTTTTTCTTTCTGGCCACTGAATAGTATTTCATACTATAGATATTCCGTATATTAGTTACTCAATTCCCTATTGACGTTTAGCTGGTATCTAGCTTTTGTACAAACAATGCTGCAGTAGCTCTTTCTTACCACTTTAGACTGCTTCTTTTGAATTCTACGGAGGCATCAAGGATACTTAGTGGGGACAGAAAGGGGTTAGAACCTTACGCAGAAATGCAGTTTGGTCTCTAGCTTGTGCAGGAATAGACATCAGACAGGCTTTACAAAGGGAGGGATGCCTGTGATTTGACCCTGGGAAATTTGCCCCTTCATTCACCCATCTCATAAGCCAGAACATGCAAGGGTTGTTACCAGCAGCTACCTGGACCTTGGGATGTGGCAGCATGAAACCAGAATCTCTAGAAGGGGCATACTGAAGTGTCTCAGCCCACCTCATCCTGATTGGGTGGTGACATTGGCAGTGGGGCACCTCTGTAGGGACTTGTAGGCTGGGGCTGGCTGTGTGTAGGAGGCTGTTGGCTTTACTAACATTTAAGGAATTTATGTTCTTTACCTATGTCTGTTGGTATTGTTTCAGCAATTAGAGTCACTATTGTAACCACCACCAGCCTTTGCAGGAGTCTTTCAGTCTCTGCAGCTAGAGGTCTGGGTGGATTCTAGAGCAGAGGAGACTGGAAGGGCTGCCTAGGGCTTGTGCTCAGTGCTGTCTTAAGGGAGAAGCTTTAAGGGCACCTTTTCCTCGTCGTCCAGCCCAGCTCATCAAAACAGAAGAGGCAAAGACTCAGGGCAGATGCTGCGTCCTGGGATAGAGAGTACTTTCTGCTCGAGCTTCCCTTTTGCATTTCCTTTTACTCTTACATTACTTGTACTTGTTCTGTTTTTCTTAATTTATAATCTGTTTACTATTGGAGGCATAGAAGGTCAAAAGACACAGTCTCTGGACTCATTTTACAGCATTCATTTTTGGTTGTGTCCAGACACACCCATACGCACACAAACTGCTATTTAGAACCTCTGCTGACATTGCTAACTTTTGATGCCAAAATGACTTTACTCTTAAAAATTGGTTATATATTTAGTATATAAATAAGTGCTACATTTTTTAAATCAAAGTTGAACTGTCATTTTAGCCAAAAAGTGGAAACAATCCAAATAAATATCCATCAGCTGGTGAGTGGATAAATCGATGGTATTTATATCCTTTTATTTTTATTTTTTAAAATTTTTTGGGGAAAAAAAAAAAAAAAAAAAAAAAAAAAAAGAATGTTAAAATTTTTTGGCCACACCGCGTGGCATGCGGGATCTTAGTTCCCTGACCAGGGGTCAAAACCGTGCCCCCCTGCAGTGGAAGTGTGGCGTCTTAACCCCTGGACCTCCAGGGAATTCCCCAGTATATCCTTGTAGTGGAATATTATTTGCTCCTAAAAGGGCATGAAGTACTGATGTATGTGACAACACCGATGAACCTTGGAAACATGCTAAGTGAAAGAAATTAGTCACAAAAGACCACATGTTGTCTGATACCATTTATATGAAATGTCCAGAAGAGGCAAGTCTGTAGAGATGGGGCAATGGCTTGCTGGTGGTGGTGGTGGTGGTGTGTGGAAATGGGAGCCACTGCTAATGGGTTTGGGTTGCATTTTGGGGTGATGAAAATGTTCTAAAAATTTATTATAGTGACGGATGTGCAACTTTGTGAATATACCAAAAGTCATTGAATATTTAAATAGGTGAATAGTATGGTGTGTGAATTATATCTCAATAAAGCTTTACAAGTTAAATAAAACAAAATCACCTTTAAAAAAATATATTTATTTATTTGGCTGCGCTGGGTCTTAGTTGTGGCACGCGGGATCAGTTGTGGCATGTGAACTCTTAGTTGCAGCATGCAGGAGCTAGTTCCCTGACCAGGGATTGAACCGGGCCCCCTACATTGGGAACGTGGAGTCTTAACCACTGGACCGGCAGGGAAGTCCCCAAAATCACCTTTCTTGAAGGCAGTTTTGTATTTTTTTGCCTACTACTTTATGCTTTGCACATAATAGGCACTTACTGTTTTTGAATAAATAATTCCTAGTACCTGTTTTCTGTGCCAGGCACATGGTAGAGAGGTCAGTAAGTAGTGCAGGAATGTGGAAAGCCTTGTTCAAATTCGTGATCTGTCAATCGATAACTGATGCAAACTTTCCCTCTGTGAGTCCTTTAGTACTTAAGACGTAGCCCAGATGATAGAGTCATGTAAATAGAGGGCTAGAAAGTGACATAGATCAACTGCAGGTTCTCATAATACAGTTTTATCATGGAGTAGCTGGAGGCTTTTTGTTCTTTTTTACTTTCTTTGATGTTTTTCAGGTTACATTTAATTACAGTCTTAGAAAGCATTGGTATCTATATATTTTGTTTTTTATTTTTGTTTTTTATAGACAATACCTGAAATTCCACCACAGCCTGGAGAACTCAAAACAGAGCTTTTGGGACTGAAAGAGAGACAACATGAACCTCAAAATTCATCTCTGCCAAGAACTCTGTGAATAATATTATGAGAATTAAATATGTAGTTTTAGAATTTACTGAGTCAAACTACTTGTGCTTAAGCACTAATACAATGCTAACTGCAAGAGGAAGTGCTCAGCAGATGTTAACTGATGCATTGAGATTTAGTTATGGTTTGACTAATGTTTCTTGAAAACTGCCAAAGCTTATATCATCAGCTTCTCTAATGCGGTTTGATAGATACCTAGTCTTAAATATCATGTGAGAGAACATAGTTGCAGTGTCTCCTACCCTTATAATTCTGGTTTATTTCTCTGAATAAGCTTGACTATAACGGCAAATGGGAATTATAAATTAACTATAGTAAAAGTGACATTGACCATGAGTGCTTAGGGTGAGAAGTTAATATTTCTCTAAATATTGGAAAGTACTATTTGTACTAAACTGAATTCAGTTGAAATATTTAAAGTTTGAAATTCTTTTAGAGTTGTATACATAAAATTATAAACAGTTGTGACTTGGACGGTCACAAGTTCTGTACCCCCAAATTTGAGACACCATTTGGCATTTAATTTCTCTTATAAAATATATTCTAAAATAACTGATAAACATAAATGAGTATAGTTATGGGTTGAATTGTATCCCCCCAAAAGATGTTGAAGTCCTAACTCCCAGTACCTGTGAGTGTGTGTTTGGAAATAGGGTCTTTGCAATTGTAATGAAGTAAAGATGAAGTCATTAGGGTGGGCCCTAATCCAATGTGAATGGTGTCTTTTTATAAGAAGAGGAAAACACCGTGTAAAGACAGACACACAGGGAGAATGCCAGGTGATAACAGAAGCAAAGATTGGAGTGATGCAGCCACAAGCCAGGGGACACCACCAGAAGCTAGGAAGAGACAGGGCAGGATTCTACCCAGAGTCTGTGAACATGGCTCTGCTGACACATGGATTTCGGACTTTTGGCCCCTAGAACTGTGAGAGAATAAATTTCTGTTGTTTTAAGCCATCCACTTAGTGTTTCTTTGTTATGGCAGCCCTGGGAAACTAATACCAACTTGTTAGCCCTTTTCTGAGTCTATGAAAGCAGGTCAAAAGTAATTTATAGAGCAGTCAGCTCTGTGTTCAGGGCTGTTTTTCCAAAAGAAGTTTTTAAAAATTCTGAATTTCTAATGATAATGTCTAAGCTTATTACTTAGCCAGTTACCAGATTGCTACATGATAGAGATCTTTGGGGTCAATGTTGAAATCTTAAATTCCTAAGTGCAAACAAAATGCTTTTGTTTCTCTCCATAGTCAGTGCCCTTTAGTTTAACAATATAAAGGAACTAAATGAAATGGTTTGTTTCCAGACTCATATACCAGATTTTTCTTTTCTACTCTGTGTCATTTGGTACTTTATCATATGTTCCCAGCACAAAGAGAATATTCAATTCTGTCAGTGACAGATGAGCAGTACCCTACCCTAGGAAAACAAGGGCCGGGATTCTGAGGTAGAGGATGGGCTTTTTTTTTTTAATATAAATTTATTTATTCATTCATTCATTTATCTATTCATTTATGGCTGCGTTGGGTCTTCTTTGCTGCGCGCGGGCTTTCTCTAGTTGCGGCGAGCAGGGGCTACTCTTTGTTGCGGTGCACGGGCTTCTCATTGCAGTGGCTTCTCTTGTTGCAGAGCACAGGCTCTAGGTGCGGGGGCTTCAGTAGTTGTAGCTCACGGGCTCCAGAGTGCAGGTCAGTAGTTGTGGTGCACGGGCTTAGTTGCTCCACGGCATGTGGGATCTTCCTGTACCAGGGATTGAACCCATGTCCCCTTCATTGGCAGGTGGACTCCCAACCACTGTGCCACCAGGGAAGTCCCCAGAAGATGGACTTTTTAGTTGAGACTGATTGCTGTTTCCTGATACATTATTTACTGTGCCCTTGTGCACAAGACTTCCCTTCTCTGTATCAAATTTCATAGCATCATTAACTGAATACATTTTTCTTGAAAAAAAATTGTACACTTTACAAATGGTGAAGCTTGCCACAGTTGCCATTGCAAGGGCTTTATATCAAACTGGAAGAAGTCTATTTTTTTTTAGTTAAAGGGATTTAAAAATGTTTTCCTAAATATTAATTCGGTAATTCTAGTCGAGGTGCCTAACTTCCGCAAGTAGTTGGAATTCCCAAAGGCTTCAGGGAAGGATACTTGATTTAGTATAAATCAACAAGAAAGAGTCATGATTTGAACCCAAATCTCCTACAAGACAATGGCTTCATGAAGGTGAAAAATTAATTTTATAGCTATTAAAATTCAAATGTACCAAAAGTAAAAATGCCATCATTTCAGTAAGTGCTGATTCTAAGTAACTTTAACCAAGGTATATATTATATATATTTTTTCCTTTTTTTAAGCTGACCCCATTGTGAAAAATGGACATTATGGTGGGTGTAGAAATGAGGCCAATGGATTCCCAGGAAAAGGCTTGTTACCCCAACGCTGAATGCTCATCAGCGAGCTCCCTTCAGCTGCCAGCTCCTGCAGGGACGGCCTCAGCTAGCACCACCTGGCTCAAAGCTGCACAGCACAGAGGGGCCGGCAGCTGTGAGGGACCCCGGTTCAGCTCACTTCCCTGCACAGTTGGCTGAGGCTGGTTTTGGACTTGTGTTGCTGCTCGATTTCTGCTTCTGCGCAGTCTCCTTTGCTTTCCTTCCTTCCACAGGTGCTCATCCAAGGGCACGCCTTCATAAATTTTCTGCACACTAAACTCCATCTCAGTGCTTCCTGGAGAACCAAACCTGTGACAAAAACCAAGTATTAAAAGTAGAACTAGAGGGCTTCCCTGGTGGCGCAGTGATTGAGAGTCCGCCTGCCGATGCAGGGGACACGGGTTCGTGCCCCAGTCTGGGAAGATCCCACATGCTGCAGAGCGGCTAGGCCCGTGAGCCATGGCCGCTGAGCCTGCGTCTCCGGAGCCTGTGCTCCGCAACGGGAGAGGCCACAACAGTGAGAGGCCCGCGTACTGCCAAAAAAAAAAAAATAAAAAAAAAAATAGTAGATTAGTCCTTAATAAAGCTTAATAAAGCTTAATAAAGCTGTGAGGGAACAGTTCACGACAGCTCAGCTGTAACCCGTCAGATAATTTAGACCAGTTAAACAGCTGTAGTGCAAGGTGTATATGGCATAGCTGCATAGCTGCCTGTTTCTACCAAAACCTCAGGGAGAATGATGCTTTTTACGCTTCCTCATGGAAACTTAGAATTTGTAATTGGAAGATTCTGAGAAGTTTCAGATGCCACAAATTTAATGCGACCTGATGGCTTTAATTTTTATGTCCTAACAACCTTCACTAAAAGTAGTAATTTATATGGCCAAAAAATGGGAAACAAATACAACTAATAGCTAATATAACATTGTATCAGGAAAGGAAGCTATACCTTAACTGATAGCCTGTTTCTCTGAGTTCCCATTTTCTTAAAAGGGAAAAGAAGCAGGGCAGATTTTTAAAAAGATGATTGTAAACTAAAGAGCTTGATGGGGAGGGGTAGGAAGCATATAATGATTAGAATTACGAGAAGCCTAGAAAGCGTCCTGGATTATCAGGAAAATTGTGAAGTGTTTAACAACTTTATTGTACATAAAATTAGTTTCCACAGAATTTTCTCACACACCATGATCTCTGAATATGCAAATGAGTAACATTTTCTCTCCCTAGCCAGTTAAAAAAAATACTATTTCAGATGGCTATATTTAGAGAAACCGTTTCTCCCGTAACACATTTTAAAACAAATTAAACATACCGATGAGGATCTTCACCCAGTATCTGTAGTTATACTTGTGGTAGGATTATAGATGATTTTTAAAAGATAGCCTTTTTATTGTGGAATAAATTTAGATTTACAGGAAAACTACCAAGATAGCACAGTTCCTGTATCCCACTGCCTGTTTCCATGAATGCCCTCATCTTACATGACCCTGCTACACATCACACATGCCAGAGCTAAGGCACAAATGAATATGTCCGACTCTGGATTTCACCAGCTTTCACCCAGGTTACTACATTGCATTTAGTTGCCATGTCTCTAGTTTCCTCCAGTCTGTGACTATTTGTTTTTTGGTTTTTTTTTAACATCTTTAAAAATCTGTGTCTCCCTCCCACCCTCCCTTTCTTTGGTTTTGACCTTAAAAAACTTTGAAGAGTACTGTTCACATATTCTAGGTTAGGTTAGGTTAAGGTTAGGAAGTTTTAGAAAGAATACCAGAGGTGAGGTACCCTTCCTCATCACATCAGAGGGTACATGACATCCCTGGTGATATGAACCTTGATCACTTGGTTATTAAGGTAGCACTTGCCAAGTTTCTCTATAGAAAGTTACTGTTTTCTCCTTTCCATACTCTAGAAGACAGTCATTAAATCCAGCCCACATTGAAAAAGAAAAGGATTAAGCTCCACTTCCTAGAAAGGGGAGCCTCTATATGTATTATTTGGAATTCTTCTGTAAGGAAGAGTATGTCTTCTATGGGTGGTTTTTAAAGATAATTTTAAAAAACCACTTTTCTTTAGTAAATATGAATTATTTTTGAAAGGAAGAAAACCCAAGACAGATGATCTAAAAAATATTTTTCTTTTCTTTTGTATCTATATGAGACGATGGATGTTCACTACTTATTGTGATCACTTCCTGATGTACATAAGTCGTTGTGCTGTACATCTTAAACTCATACAGTGCTGTATGTCAATTACATCACAATAAAACTGGAAGGAAAAAAATCAATGAATTATGAAAAGACAGGCAAGACACTGAATGTTTGGGATCTTTTTTATTTTTATACACGTGACAAGATTTTACACCAATAGTCAGTTAAATAGTACAAATTTACATTCATGAGGAATGTTAAAAAAAAATTCAACTAAAAAACCCACTTCTTCCTGTGACCCAAAATCCCAACATTTGACAGTGCAGGGGAGAAGGGGGCTGGGGGGAGCATCCAAAACAAGTCTCTCCCAAAAGAAATGACTTAAATTTCACATTCCTTCTCCACACAGGATCCAAAT